ACTCGATACCTCAATTGGGAATGTAAATATGTCCAATGGCGGGAGCTATCCAATACATGCATCTCAAAAGTTAAAGCGATTCTCATTTCTTGCCTCTCCGTTTGGTCGAAAAGACGATGCAATTTGTTCGATTTAAAGGCACACTTTTCGATCGAAAAGAGTTTAGGCTTATTAGGAGTATGCTTATCTATTCAAGACACACACACCCATGGAAGTGTTTGTTTGTCTGTATGATAGTAAACGCGTAATACACATATTGACCACTACTTTAGTCCTAGTGCGCTCGCTTCTATCTTCTATCTGCATTAGCAGCCCTCGTAAATTGCGTCCCAGCGCTCGCTTCGTCTTGAAGCGATGGGAAACACCAACTACGAGTATCATCATTCGAGAGGTTATCCGAAAGCTAGTGTACCATAAAGTTATCGGTCACTTCGAATAGCGTTCTGAGAAGTCTCAACAGTCATAGGAGGTCACAATAGTTCTTGTCGCAGCAACATTGATAGATGGTAATTCGAACGTTCTTATTAGTTGCAAATTAATCAGTCACGCCGCCTTTACTTCCCAACCCATATTCATTTTTCGAAATGAAAAACGACAAGTACATCACGCTGCGAACATTTTCAGGCCAGACCAATTACATCAAGTATCTTCCTGTTCGCTGTAAATCATTACCTCACGTTTGCCGCCTTATCGATGAATATCTGGTGGACTATATACACCCACAGATTCTTCAAGACGCATGTGAATATGGAACATCAAGTGACGACCTTGAATTTATTCGGAAGAGGACAGCTTCAAACTGGACAAATGTGGTTAAAGCAGCAGCTAGAGGAGGATATTTACACGTGTTTGAGTGGATGTTAGAACGGCAAGACGGTCTTGGTCCGTGGGTGGGGGATCTTAAAGATGTTCTTGCACAGGCTGCTGCACATGGTCATCTCAAACTCGTGAAGTGGCTATATAGTCGAGGTATTGGCAATGTTAACAACGACGTTTTTGATCAAGCTGCTACTGAAGGACATCTATCTATTGTGCAATGGTTGAACAAACATACCAAACTTACCGGACATAATCAGACACTTAGCGATACCGCTAGATATGGCCACTTGGAAGTTGTGCAGTGGTTATACACCAAAAACTTTTTTAGGGAACAGACGCCATCAGCAATGGCTTCAGCCGCAATAAATGGACATCTAGAAATACTACAATGGCTACACCAACAAGTTTGTTGCGGCGGTGTTTGCATCACTGATGTCATGGATGCAGCTATCAATGGTGGTCACTTCAATGTCGTCAAGTGGTTGTTTGGGAACTGCAACGCGGGCTGCTCCGAGCGTGCTGCTGAAACTGCTGCCTCTAACGGAGATTTGGCCATGCTGCAATGGCTACATCAACATTTTCGTGAGAAATGTCATTCAAATGTAATGGATTATGCGGCAATGGGGGGTCAACTTGATGTACTCAAGTGGTTGCACGAACAAGGATACGATGGCTGTACACCGCTTGCGATGGATACGGCTGCACAAGACGGACGTCTTAATATTGTGCAATGGCTGCACGAGAATCGAAATGAAGGATGTACGACCAAAGCAATGAGTTGTGCGGCAAATCAAGGACACCTGCACGTCGTCAAGTGGTTGCACGAAAACAGGTCCGAAGGATGCGGTGATTATGTTTTGGATTGGTCAACTTGCGAAGAGAATTTGGAGGTGGTCAAGTGGCTAGTCGAGCACAAACCGGGGATGTGTCGTGATGACTCGATGGAAAAAGCTGCTTGGCGCGGTCATATGAATGTAGTTGGCTATCTAGATGAAAACACGAGGCAACGAGGTTCTGAATTGGGTCTAGGTGCTGCCGCTAAAGAAGGTTATGTGAAGGTAGTTATCGTGTTGATGCAACATCACTACGGGATCACCAGTTTGGTAGGCATGCATTTCCGACGTAGGATATACTGGTGCTACCGGAGGTTGCTGAGCCAGCTTTCAAACCAGGATGCAACTCCAGCTTCTCCATTGTGGAACGAAATATTGAAAATGCTCGAGCTCTTCCACAGTGACCAATTTCACGCAGGTGTGTCCACACTGCTTGATCTAGCGCTGCAACGTGGATATTTGGTCATGGCTCGACAATTTTTTGAGCGCAGAAGCGAAGACGAAAAGTGCCAATATGTTGCTGTTGCTGCTGAAGGTGACGAAATCGTATTGATGAGGTGGCTGATCGAGAATGGGGCCCCATTGTGCGTTCATGCAACAATCACTCTTGTCTCAGATCATGTGAACAAAGCAAAGTACGTCGAAGCTACTTGGTGGTTGTCTGAAAGTGATCGCGTGATTGTCATTCGTGACGCTCTACAAAATAATGACCGCAAGTTGTTAATGTGGGTGCTAGATAATACCGTTTTCAAGGATAAAAATTCTTGGAAGGATATTCGAAGTGCTCTCAAAATGGCTGATAACGTTATTGTACACTGGCTTTCGGATAACCTCTCGAATGATGATACTCGTAGTTGGTGTTTCCCATCGCTTCAAGACGAAGCGAGCGCTGGGACGCAATTTACGAGGGCTGCTAATGCTAATGCAGATAGAAGATAGAAGCGAGCGCACTAGGAGGTCAATATGTGTATTACGCGCTTACTATCATACCGACAAACAAACACTTCCATGGGTGTGTGTGTCTTGAATAGATAAGCATACTCCTAATAAGCCTAAACTCTTTTCGATCGAAAAGTGTGCCTTTAAATCGAACAAATTGCATCGAATCTCTACTTAACACAGTGGTACATCAAGCAATACATTCGCTTTTACAGGGTAAATGGGTTTTTCAAAAGTTTTTGAGATCGTAAGAATATAAGGTATAGATGAATGCTATCGACATATTTGTTGATAAGTTTGTGGATGTATTTATATAGAATTTTGTGGGTGTAGAAACATAAGATTAGCGTATATTTTTGCGGTGCAGCTATCAGTTGGTAAAATGCTACCAGAAGATCACCGTGTGGTGAAAAATTCGTTTCTTGTATGATGAAAACATATTGTAGATATCAGGCTTTGTTGTAACATGGTTAGCACGAATATTTGGGACCTCAATCAATATATCAACTCGGTATTTGCCTTAAACTTAACAGTACTAAGCACATCATTCAATTAAAGGATCGCATATCACAAAAAATTATAATATAGTGATAATCTAATGTTGGGTACTTAGGGCAGCTTCATTCATAAATCTATTCGCATTAAAAAACCAATTCACATTATGAGTTGTAAAATAATAAAAAATATGACTATGTTTGTGCATTTGTATATTAGTTAGTACATTAGCCTGTATCCTGTTTGGGTTGGGGTAACGCCTTTCCTGAAGGTTTGAGCTAGCTTAATGCTAGTCAGGCCTTGGACGGATGCTTCCGCGGCGTCCGTCAGTCTTTGACGGTCCTTTCCCTCTACGCACCTCTCTCTTGCCGCTCTCACCCCCAACCGCCAGTAAAGCCGCCACGATGTACGCCGCCAAGCCCGAAGTCCCGAAGTCCCGGTATCTCTGCTTAGGTACGCTCGCGTAATCCTTTGTTCCCAATGAAAGCAACAACAAACCCTCCCTGGGTAGGACCTGTTGACAAGATAGACATCCAAGGAATCCAAGCAAGAAACCTACCGCTGGACACCGCCGTCGACTGGCCCCAGACCTGCACCTCCTTTGACTGTGTGCAAAGGATCGTGATCCTGGGCGGCCTTCAGCGCGGTGCATATAGCGCGCGCCGCTCAATGAACCCTGGCGAGAGTAAAGAGAAATGTAGAGAAAAGAGATAGGCCGACGCATGCGAAAGTTGAGCCACTTTGGTGGCAAGACGGCTCGCGTGACGCGGTTACATACATACATACATACATACATACATACATACAT